AACCGGCTCGTTCGCGAACAGCTCTTGTTCGGCTCGTTAAGAAGCTCGTGTTCAGCTTGTTCGTTAATTTAACGAGCCGAACACAGACAAAGATTTGTTTGTTCATGTTCAGCTCGTTTTTGCTCGAAATATTACCATCAATTATATATATATATATATATATGAGTAGTAATTTTAAAAATTTAATTGACTACGAGGCAACAAAGAATTATAATCAATTAAAAGCATTAATTAAAAAGAAAAGGGCGGAATGTTCGTCTATTGCACAATGCCGATGATAATTTCGGGGACCAGGCTTACCTTCCGAGCATCATGAGGGTTGCCTGAGGATTGGTCCCCGGCGATTCATAGAAGGTGGAGCCGTCGATAACCCTGAGGCCATCAACCCCAAAGACTCTATAATCCCCACCAACAACTCTCCCCACCTGGCACCCTCCATGGTAATGCCACATCGTCACCAACGTATCCTTGCAGTACTGCTCCAAAGACACCGAGTCGTTGTCGTGCTTCGGGACCAGGTTCGCCGGAAAGCTCGCCGTCATGTTAAGCAGAGCCCCTACGGTGATGAATGGGTACCTGAATTTGGCAAAGGCTTTGGACTCTATGACTTTCTCGATGATCTTGAGGCCATCGACGCATCGCCGGAGGTCGAGCAGGTCGCTGAAGTAGTTGAAGGTGACGGAAGGGTTGTCGTCGGGGTTGAGGGTTTTGAGCTCCAGGTGGCCGGCGGAGAGCGGTCCCATGACCTTTTCGAGGATGAAGCCGCCACGGAAGGCGGATTCATCCAGGCTGTTCATGGCCTTAACGGCGCGTTCAATGGCTTCCGGTGTTCTCTGCCACGGCGCTTGCAAGGGCTTCCGGTGTTCTCTGCTTTGGGGGAACGGTGGAGAGCTGCCCCGTCTGAAATATCATGGCTATGTTTGTGATTGCTAATTAATCCAATTAAAATGTTCTAGAAATATAGATACAAATTATATAAGTAATTGTTAATAAATAATTTAATTTAAATAAAGAAATAAAAGAGAATTGTATTAATTGATAATTCATATTAATATTAAAATTATAATATGATATTATTGAATAAATAATCAAATAAATTTTAATTAATCGAATTTTATTTAAATGATATATTATAAATTATACAAAATAAAAGTAAAGTTATTTTAAATATTTAATAAGTCACGAGATTTTATTTAATTACTTTTTTGAGTTAAAAAAATGTTCAACTATATTTATTTATTAATTTGAGTGAAATTAATTTTCGTTTGTAGGATCAATTCTCAATTTACAATGATAAATTTAGATGATGAATGGCTGATAAGCTGGCTCAAATTTGAGCCGATATGATCGAGTCGGCCCGAAATTGAATCCATGAAAATCATGAGCCGAATATCAGCAAGAAACCACATCAATCATAAAATTCCGCAGCTACCTGAGGCGAAAACATTCCAAAATTCCTCGCCGCCGTCGGAACCGCACCACCACCAGCAAGACTAGCCAAAAACTGACCGCTAATGGCCTCGACATAAGTCCCAAACCTCGTAATCCCCACCACCTGTATCAGCGACGTCTCTACTGGCGACGGCGACGGCACAAATATAGCATTCATGGGATTATCGGACATCCCCTTCCCCACCATCGGCTGATCCACCACCACCTTTATCCCCAACTTCTCCAACTCTTCTTTGGGCCCCACGCCGCTTAGCATCAGCAACTGCGGACTCCCAATCGCCCCCGCAGACACTACAATCTCACCCCCTCTCTTCACGTACGCCCTCTTCCACCTCCCAATCTCATCCCTATACAACACGCCCCTTGCCGCCGCCTTATTCCTCCCCTTCAAATTCCACAGTATCTTCGACGCCGTCGCTCGTAGAAGAACCGTTAGCCGTGATGGGTTCGCGTACGACAGCAGGTCCGCCGCCGTGTGCCGGTGCCCGTCTCGATCGAAGATTGTTCCCCCGACCTGCACAGTACATCGTTACGAGCAACTGATCATTTTCTTTTTTTAACGAGCCGAACACTAGTCAAGAGTGAGCTCGCTCAATCACGACTCGTTTATAGCCCTAATTTCTTGCTAGAAAATATTTATCATCAAATTATTTATAAGAAGCACCTTCGTCCCGTAGATGTGGTCAAAGGTGAATCCATTGTACGGCGTGACGCCAGCCTCCAGTAGACCGTCCCTCACCGCCGACTGCCACTGCAACATCCCCGAACGCACCCAGCCGCTCGCCCCACCCATAAGACTCATTAACGAGCCGCCTGTCTTCCCACCCGGCACGACGAACATAGTCCAGGCTGGCTCGAGTATAAAACCCGACGTTCAGGCAGCTGCCGCCGCCGAGCACACGTGCTCGGGCGTTTATAACGCCGTCCTCGGACACGAATCGCTGCGACGCCGATGTCAGAGAGAGGTCGGCGAGAGTGTCGACGAAGGAAAATTTGTTAGTTATGTTGTTGTTTCCGTAAGGTGATCCGCCGCGTTCGAGGAGGAGGACGTTGAAGTTTTCCGCGAGGGTAGCCGCCAGGGGACACCCGGCTGTTCCGCCGCCGATGATTATGTAGTCGTAGTAGGAGATGAGTGGAGCTACGGTTGCATTCTTCAAGAATGTGTATTTTGGAGCTGCGATCAACGTTTAGGTGAATAAATTTTTAGAGCGATACAGACTAACAATTCCATGACTATGATGAATATATTTAGTGAATACACAAATAATTTTGTGTATTCATGATTACCCTTTTAAAAGTGAAATATTTTTCGATGCATAAACTTATACTACAAGTATAAATATGAAGCTTTAGGTGTTAGATATATAAACATAAAAAAAAATATGTGGTATGTTTTCATAAACTCTATTACCCAAATCACTATTAGAAACTAAAAACTTCCACTCGCATAAACTATAGAGGTGAGGGTTATACGTATTTCAGAGTTGCAGGGACCAGCGAGGCACAGAAACAGCAGAAGATAACTCCTTAGCCTACCAAACTCCATCCTATACAGGAAAGAGAGTAGGGAGAGAGAGAGACAGAGAGAGAGTTGTAGGGGAGGCTGGATTTTAGAGTTTTTAGAAACAATATATATATATATATATATATATA